ATTCAAGGTGTTAAAAAATATCTTTTTTCAATAGAGTCCGAACCTGTGTTTTATAAAGATCAAAAATGCCTCCTACCTTTAATAAAGTTTCCATTTTATCAGACAGTAACTCTTACTGTATTTCAATGTATTTACCCCATTTTCTAACATCTCGAAGTATTTGCTTTTGTTCAGTGATTTAAATTTGTTGTCTCATGGCGCCTTTTAAATTGGATCCAGCTATTAGCAAAATGTACTCATGTTCCCTGAAGCTAGTGTCCCATTCTGCAGACCAAAGGCATAGTAAAAAGGCTTAGCTTTTTTTCTCCCTTTAGTAAAGGCATGGTTTAAATTACTTGCTTTGTAAATCTTACTTGTAGACCTCAGAAGTAAAATATTTAATTTTTTGCGGTATATATATGATGGAGAACATTAGTAAGCTGGATCATTACAGTATAAAATATAAAACTTTCTATGAGGATATTTGTTTTAGGCTTGTCTGATTGTTCATGTGTGGAAGGGGAGAATAATATGGCCTATGCAAAGTAATTTATCACCTGGGTCAAGAAAAAAGTTACCACTTTTAAGATGTGTTCGAAATAGTTTAAAATATTTTTGCTCAGATATGTCACTGAGAGCTTTCCTTTTGAAAGTCAAGCCATATATTTGGTGCCTTAGATGGGTTTAATCAGTTAGCTTCAAGCACTGTTTCCCAAAAGGCTTTGACCCAGGTTGCTAAAACAAAAGGTCTGCCTTAGAGGTGGGTTACTATTATATTTCAGTTAAATAATTTTGCACAACAGCTTGTGTTGTCTGAGAACAGACTAAGTCAGCATAGTTAATCTTGGTTTCTCAACATCTTCCATGCACTGCCAAAATCCAGGTAATGTTTGAGTTGCAAATACTGTTGCTCTATATTATGTATTTTTCTTAAAATGAAACTAAAGGATAATACAGGACCATTGGAGTTGTGTACGTTGCTGCTTCTAAATTTGGAACACTCTATCTGACAGCAGCATCCCTTCAAGACATTTCATCTCAGTGCTTGCCAGTACTTAGATTATGATGTGGTTAATATTTATGAAAATGTAAGAGATGGGTTTCAAATGTTGTACCCAAGACAATGAGCGTCTCACTGTTCTCCTAGCAATGAACTGTGCCTCAGAAGTGCACTACTAATATGGGCTGTGTCTTGAAAAACAAATCTTCATTTAGCTTAAAAAGCTGGTAGTGGAGATGTTCACACCAGCTGTAAAAGCAGGGCAGGAGGGAATAACAATTTCTAGGCAATGAGGACCCACCCACAACAAACCGGAATTCCCAGTGGACCTCTATCAACCCGTTCACCTCTCCCCTTCCTTGGAGTACTGGGCGTCAGCCACAGTCTTGGAAGGTCAGTACTGGAGGCTGAGAGAAGAAACTGCATTTCCCAGTTTGGCACGTGGGTCCCTGCAGCTGCCAAACCAGTAAGAGTGTGTGTGGGTAGGAGGACGGTTGCAGGTGTTGCTTCACATCCAGACAAAGTTGTATGTGCTTTCTGCCAGTAGAAAGCAGGAAGGATTGCTGTAAATTGCTTTTCAGGTTCAGTTTGTATTGTTTATGGCGTTCCCAGCCAGAACTACATATGGTATGCATCTCCGAACCATGCAGGAGAGCACCGCGCCATGTGTAGAAGATTCAGAGAGGAGTAATGAATTCCTATGTTTGCTCCTGGTAGGAACAGAAAAACCAAGAGAAGCATATACAGGATGCGGTATGGTTAGCTCAGCCCTACCACAAGCTACTTATTTTCCAGAATTTCCTTTTGAGACTGGTTTGTTAAAAGTGCCCGTTCACATGACTCATTCATTAGGCTGTGAAGCTGTGGGGCCCGTTTTACTTTTCTTGATCTAAGCACTGGCTGAGGCATTGGGAACTGATGGTTCTTTTTCCATCCTTATGTGAATAAAATTCCCATGTTTGTGGTGTAAGCCTAGGGCATGGATTATACTAGAAAAATTACTTATTTATAGTGCATGTACCAGAGGAATGACTTTGTTTGGTCTAGGTGCAGTTTGTGTTACATGGCCATCTGAGTGCCACACTGCATGGGGCGTGTGGGGGACAGGAAAGTAACCGATACATATGTTCAGTCCAAGTAGCAGTGAAGATTTCAGTGCCAGCACTGTGCAGGTCACCCCCTGCCCCGTTTCGCTCAGAGCCATCTTCAGTTTCTGTGCTTTGCCCACTGAGTCCCATATGAGACAAGGGAGAGCTGGTGGGGCCGACCCTCCTCCTGGTTTTGCGGCCCTTCGGCAGCAATTGGTTCTCCTGCGGCTTGCTTTGCCACGACAGCATCTGGGCATTTTGGAAAACGGGACAAACGTGTAATCTGAGGATAACAGAAATGCTGCTTCTGCCCCAGCTGGAGAAGCGCCAGCATGTCAGGTCTGTAAACATGCCAGGATTTGTGCTTTCCCTGGGAAAGAAGGGGGGGAAAGTGAACGAAAGAAAAGCGTGTGCTATCCCAGGCCTCACTCAGCAAATAAATACTTTTCCTTTAAACTATTTGAAAGGACGAGCCCTGTGGAGGAAGGAAAAATTAAGGGAAGAGACACAGCTCAATTGTTGAGTGTTCTCCAAAGCCATTAGGATTCAGATCATCAGGTCATGATACAAATGTAAGGCAGACATACACGACATTAGATGTGAGGTAGTAGGACCGCACAGATGCCTTCACAGGAAGAACTTCTCCTCTGCTTTCCCTGCAGCTATTGCAGTGATGGGGATGAGCTGGCTTGTGCACTATGCACCAGGTCCCTGCTTCTTGTCAAAAGCACTCAGAAGTTTAGGCCCTAAAGTCTTGTGACCTCTTAACTTAGTATCAATAAATATTTTAGGAACTGCAGGGGCAAAACCATCTTCATCAGGAGGTGTGAAGAGAGCCCCACCCCAGAATGCTTTATAATGTGCTGATGGAATATTCTCACTCATGGTGCAGTTTCAGACACAGAAACTGGGCCTGATGGTTCACCTCCTGAATAAGTGCTGTAACTGATGGACCATGAGATGTAGAAGAGCAGTGATCCCAGGAGAATATCCAGTCTCTTTCTCCTTACGTTTTTCATACATGTCATGAGAATACATAAGGATTTTTTTTTAATATGTGCAGAATAATGTGTATCAGATGAAGATATACAGCCTTTAAAATGTGCTTGTATTCTGTTTGGTTCACTCACTCTGTGGATGAGAGAGGCATATGCTTTATTTTTGAGCCTTGAAGGTTTGGTCCTGGCATGAAGCTGCTCGATATTATGAGAAATGCTCTGTAACAAAGCTGGATTGCCTGGGAAGATTTACTAGTGAAATGTTTAACGTCTGCAGGGAGAAGAAGCAACTGGGCAGGGTTTTGAAGGTTTACATTGTGGATATGGGCATCTATAGCAAAGTGAGATGAATCTTGGAAAGCCATTTACTTTTGTAGATTTAGTGCTGGTTCCTACTTGGAGGAGTCTTAACAGCTCTTGTTTTGTCAGCAGAAACCTTCAAGAGACTGCTTTCATTCCCTACCATCCATTGCACTGTAACTGTTCAGGATCTTACATGCTGTGAGTGCAAACTCCACACAGCCACAAAACCCTTCAGTATTTTATTTCATTCGTAAGTGGTGTTCAAACTTTTCATTGAAGAGGTCAGCTGGAAAGAGGCATCAGGTACCCAAACAAGGACTCTAAGACTCTTCACAACCTGTGAGCATTTATCGCTTGTTAATTATGCTAATAGGATTAACATCTAATTACATGAAGTCTGTGAAATTTTTTCCTGAGATGAAAAGTTGGCAAGGACTAGGACAAGGAAAGTATTTTTAAATACTGTATCTCGGAGAACAATATACTTCAGTGTGACATTCTTCCCTCCCTTTCTGGCTTCCCTTCTCAATGTTACCAGTAAATCTGTCATTCAGAAAAAGGTACATGTTCAGTTACTCAACATGAGCACAATTTGGAATTGGTTTTGCAAACTGTTAGAACTGCTAACACTTTACTGTGACAGGTTATTGTTACTGGGTGCCCTGTCTTTTGAAAGATGGTAAGAAGGATTGCGAGGGTGGGGGAGTTTTATTGCATGTAACTGTTTTCCTTTATAATCAGTGCTGAGCTACGAATGGAATATAAAATGCTAGGCTGATCACTGCTTACAACTGAGGAAGCCTTGCTGGAGAGTAAGATGACACGCCACAGAAGTGGCTAAGAACAAATCAGAAATCTAAACACAACAACAACGAAAAACACCCACATCTAATTAATGTTCACCCTACTTAAAAATGTTTTTCAGTTGTGATTTGCTTGTAAATTTCCATGCTTTTCATTACTGTATGTTAATAACTGTTTTTGTCAATGCGCATTTGGTAGAACAGCCCAGCATTTTAAGTGCTTTGCAAGGTGCTTAAAATCTCTTACTGTCAAAGATAGGATGGCAACTGTGTTTTGTTTAACTGAAAGCTCCCTGTTTCATGGTTTTATATCTAACTCTTACCCTGGCATGGATTTAATATCGGTACAGAATTATACTTAAGCCTTTTTATCCCTTGGACTATACACTTACATAGGGGAAGTTATCAGTTGTATCATATGTCTCTTCCAGATGTTTCCAGTGCTAATCTCCTCACCCTCCCCCCCCTTCCATCAGTATAAAAGAAACCACCTCCAGCCTAACTTAAGGGAAAAGAAATCAAGACTGAAAACTGTGGAGGTGAAGATGCTGCAGATCTGTGCCTGGAACCAGGAGTTTGTCATTAGGCATTCTGGGTTTCCAAAGCCTGGGCTTGCGTGTGCAGAGTGCTGCACCAACCGGCTTACCGACCGGTGTTGAGAGGCACCTGCCTGGCTGCTGGGGGTGGGGAGACAACCCACAAAAAAAAAAAAACCAGACCCAACAACAATGATGAAACAAAACTGATTAGAGATGTATCCTTTATCAGCATGTGCGCAGATACAATACAGTTTGGGGGATTTTCTCTAATATTTCTTTTCTTCTCAAAGGTTCGGCATCGGTGGTGCGAGCTTATTGTTAAACACAAGTATGTGCCTGGGTATGAAGATGTTGAGAAATTCCTCAGAGAAGATCAGGTCAGTTACATTTAATTAGCCCTTTCCAAATAATCCACTTTTGACACTCTTAGTGTGAAACTAAGAAGATTATTTAAACATATTTCCTTGCTTAAATTTGTCAAATACTGAAATATGTATTTAGATTTTGCCTCTTTTGCCCTTAAACACTGTAGTTCAAGGAAGTTTATTCAACCTCTCCTAAGCATGCTGATCCTCTAGTAAGTGGTGTAATAGGGAATATTTTCTCCTCTCCTCCCATATTATGTAGGGTAGAAATGATGCTAGGAAGATACTTCTCAGCATTGGTTCCTGTTTTAGGATGACAAAGGCAAGTATAGCTCTGAATGTTAATGCACAGATATGAGCTAGGTGCAAAGAAGTCAGTGCTGTGCTGACTTCAGGTTTTCAAGATGATGTCCAGGAGAAGCACAGCACAGTGATGTACATCCAGAGAATGCAGGCCTGTCCATGGTTAGGGAAATGTTACTAGAAGATTTTGAAGGTCTTGAAAGGCTGGCTGCACATGGCATCTTTACTACAGCTTTTTATTTACGGCATTATGGACTTACAATTCTAATTGCACGTCTGCCTCGTTCTTTCTATTTCACCTTATGTATTTTTATTCACTATGAACTCTTACAATTCACTGCCTAGAATGACTGTTATATATTTAAAATGTATGTATGTAAAAAATAGCAAGATAGGTCAAAGTCTAGGCAAGATATTAATGATTTTACCTTTTATGTTGACAACTAACCAAGCCGTTTACAGCCAGTGAGGTTTTTGTGATTTCAGGCAAATATGCTTTGTCACAACAGCGCAATAAAACTATTGCAGTCTTTCTTCCAGTTCTGTAGTATACCTTCTATTTATATCTCAGCCAATAAACAAGAGCCAAACATCCTGGCAAGCTCTCTCTCTTAAAAAAAAAAAAAAAAGGCATAAACCAACATTCTTTATGAAAATAAGGAGTTGTATAGATTGTGCGTATGTCCATCCTATGAAAGGATGGAGATAACCATAGTAGAAGCTGTGGCGGAGGGGGAATCCATGAGTTCATAAAGCCAAACATACTGACTTGCATTATGTTTGGAACAGATACTATGCCAAATAAAGACTAATGTTTTCTGCAGTGCAGGGACATGATTCTTGCAACTTTTTTTTAAAATGTAATCTTCAGTATGTTTCATTTAATTTACTTACCCCAGCAGTGCATGCAGTTTATGGCACAACCAGCTTCTGGAGTGACTGCAACTCAAATCAGAGCACTTGCATGGCCTTACTGATTGTGCAAGATTTAGCTTTTTTGGAAATCTAGGAAAAAATGCAAATATGACTATTTTCAGGTCTGCAGAAACTCTGTGTGTTTACTGCTTGTTAATGTTTAGGCTTGGGGCGAAATTATTAACACTGGGTAGAGAAGGTAATTCCTGTTTGTAACAAAACTCTTAACATTTTGAAATGCTCTATGAAAGCAGCTGGAGCCTAGCTCCAAAGCTGTGTGTGTGTGCCTGGTGCAGCTGCAGATGCTGGAAATGTGAGCTCTTGGGTCTCTGGGAGGCAGAACACACACTTAGGGGATTGGCAAGGAATCTGGCAGGTTTCTACCACTCTGGGATTTTTTTCTTTAATGTCAGTCTTTGCTAAACTTCTTCCCTTCCTACTGAAGCTAATGTTTTCTAAGGATTACCAGCAAAGGTAGAAATTGTGGGCAATAGTACTAAAAATTGGTTTTTTTCAGTGCTGTCCAATTTTTTCCTCTTAGGCAAGTGTCCAAACAGTAAGTACAACTGTAAAAGTCAGCGTGCTAACCTGCTAATATTTTGTCACATGTATAATCCTATTTTGATAAATGGGGATTAACACTTACTGAATTTCTGTAATTAGGAAAAAAAAAAACATTGTATCATCAGAACAAAAGGCAATCCCCTGTTAAGTTAGGCAGTGCTTTGCTACCTGCCATCGAAGGGCTCCAGACTTCACCTCCAGGTCCCCCATTGTCTTTCTTGAGAGCTGCTATATCCAGAATGAGTACTTAGGAAAAGCCTGCTGCCTTATCAAGCCAGAATTTGTGCATGTTCAGGCCATACCTCAGATGTAGAGTCTGAAAGACAGAGATGACTGAGTTCAGTTCACATCCAGTTACTGCCAAATGGGAATTTTAGAGTGGACTGTTTCAGTTGATGTCCTCTTCATTCATGTGTGTGTAAAAATCCCAGTTGGACAGAAACTATTTAATGGAAGGACAAAGCTGTTTTCTTAAGGGGCATTTGGAAATATTTGAGGTGGTGGATAAAAGAATACAGATTTCAACTTGAAAAGTAGAAAGAAAAATGGAGTGAGAAAGCATTTTCTTGTCACGACATTACATATACCCCTTATATTAGTATCCTGTTCTTACACACTCAATACAACATACAGACAAGCATCCTTAGGCTAAAGAGGTCCAGAGAAAACTACTTGTTTGGGGGGAAGGGTAAATGCTCTAGAGTAAATGCTATTTTATGTATTTTGGATTGTCTTATTTTGTTTTGAATTAAATGAGTACTAGAAGGCCACTAGAATGAAAACCAGCAAACTGGTTATTACTGGTGATAGGATGCCTGTGTATTGTGTTCCTTTTTCAGGCAATGGGTGTGTATCTCTATGGTGAATTAATGGTGAATGAAGATGTGAAACAACAAGAACTTGCACATAAATGCTTTGCTGCAGCGCGAGAACATATGGATGCATCCTCAGCCAAAGTGGTGGCAGAGATGTTGTTCTGAAGAGGTGATTTTTCTTTTTAGATTAAACACCCTGGCTTTGCCTCATGCTGAAATAAGGTGCAGATGTAATAAATTTTGGCACACCATAGAGCTTGTGGCTGCTTTGCTCGAGAAGTAACTCTTGTTAAAAGCGTCTTGCTTTTTCTTTTTTTTTTAAATTCTTTTTCCTATTTTTTTAATTCCATCTGCTGTAGCAGTGGGTTAGATAATTGTAGACCCTAGCTGGAGAGCATGGAGCATGGCTTTGTTGTAAACTTTGCAATGGACTGTACAAGAGGCAACTGTAAGTCTGAATGGCCAGAGCAGGCCAGGCTTCACCTGCAGTTGTTTCCCATTCTGTATTTTTAACTCCTCTCACAGAAATTGCAGTTGTGCAAGGAGCATTTCTGTTTAATGAAGCTGCGTGTTGACTTGATAGGCAGCAGTCTTACAATGGACACATGAAGCTTTGCGCTTGGAAGCAAATCTGAATCATGTGAGAACAAGCTGATAATTCAAATGGCTTTGTGTTAAGAGTAGTGAGGCCTTTGAAGACGGGTTACGAGGTAAGAAGAGCAACCTTAACATGAAAAAACTGCTTACCATCATACATAATCTGAAATTAGGGGGGGAAGGAATCGCCAGAGAAAAAGCAGAATTGCAAGAAATGTTCATGGAGTAAAGATTGCTGCAGGCTATAAACTGGTAATTTGCAAACATATTCTCCATTTCTCAGTCTATTTGAGTAACTAGAGGTAAGCTTACAGTGTCTGTACATGCATGTTTAACACACAGCCAATTAGGATTGGTATGAAGGTCTCTTCCAGTACAGCATACCTCAGATTTTTGCTTAATGATATAACCCAACTGACACTCTGGTTGCCTTGGTTGTTCACATAACTTTATAGTTGATTTATGGTATCAAAATTCAGGCATCTGAATTATCAAAAGCATCAATTTCTAATGGGTACTGAGCAGAAATCTTCATTTTCTCCCATTCAAGCCTGTACATGTAGCAGTACTTGTAGTGAACACTTGAATTTGTGATGTTTATTTTATTCATATGAAATATAGCAGATGATATATACCATGAAAACAAGTTTGTTTATGAACAGCCATTTTGTTCTTTTGTATAGACAAGAATTATGCTTGCCAAGAAAATTTTCAACAGTTTTTAGTCTAGTAGATGCCTTCAAGTGTCTGAAGGCCAGAAACATGGAGATGCAGTTTGTTCTGGCACTGTGTACTAGGAACTGTCTTAGATATTTCCTTCAATAATAAAATAAAAATCAAAATTTGCACAAGCTTCTGGTGGTGAGTATCTAGCATGGGAAAATTATGTGGTGATATACGTGTTAGGAGTAGTTTAGAATTGCCCGTTTGGCCTTTCAGACAGACTAGAAGTCCATGGTGAGCTATAACATAAAATCTAAAGATACTGTTATGAGTACAACACTGTGTGTGACTGCACAGCTTTCTTTTAATGTTGTGGTTGTTTGGGTTCCTGGCATGATGATTTGTGACTTAAGATTAAAATCACATTGCCAGGGATTACCACACAGCCATAACCAGCTCCTCGTATGAAACTCAGCATAACTGCCTGATCTGTGCACAGTGTGAAATCTGCCCTGTCCGTAAAACAGGAAGGCAACAGAGGACAGCAGCAGATGCCTTGTGGAAGAGCCTGCTCTAATAATTAGCTACACCAAGACAGGAACCTCTCTGGCGAGGTGCAGAGCTTAGCTAATTGGTGAACAGTGATTGTTTCCCTCTTTGTTCACAGTGGCTAAGTTCTACACCTGAAGAGAAGGGTTGAAACTTCGCTTAATGTCAGCTTGTGCAGGGCAGAGAGCATTTGCTGGCTGAGCTGAATGGGCAGATTTACAGTGAATGCATGTGTGTGAGATGCAGGATACCAAGGATAAGAGGCAGAGATGACCTGGGGAGGACCAAAGACTCTTGGCTTCAGTAGAGAATAAACAGCACTCGTCCAGTTCTCCATCTGACTGCAGATGTAAGGCACTGCTTACAATAATTTGGTTACCATGCTTTTCTAAATGTGAGAGTAAATAAATGTATGTGACTTTAACCTGGAATTGTCTATAAAGCTTTGTTTCATAGTCTTCTCTTTAATGGATGCTGTCATGATCTCTCTGCAGTTGTAGGTTAGCACCGTGTGTTGTTTGCATGAAATTCTGGCAGCTCCAATTGGAAACAACATACAGCTGCTGCTGTTGTTCCAGGCTGTTGATGGACCCGTCCTCCGGTGCCTACTGAGCTGATATCAGTTCTGATTTTACACACTGGCTCAGTTCAGCAGGAACAGGAGTCGAGCCCTAGAGCAAAAAAAAAGATGTACCTTTTGTCAGAACCTTTGAGAAATATTACTGTTTTCTCCCAAAACACGAATCAGTATACATTATGTGATGTCCTGATGTTAAACATTAAATGGCCCAAGGTGGAAAAACTACCTCAGTACTATATAGACAACTGTTGGCTTGAGATGAGAAGGTATGTGGATATGTAGCATATCACACAGTATTGCTCGGGTAACTGACCGCCAGCATTATTTTCAGAGTAACCTGCTAATAACCTAGCAAATGTGCTTGCAGTGTGAATCTTTGTTTTTCCCAAACCTTGTTGTGGCAGCTCTAGAAATCTAAAGAGATCATTGTAACTCTGTAACCACAGTTGCGTTCTACTGGTAACTCCAATTAGAAAGCTGCGGCAATGAAGAATACACAGATAGTCCTTTATCGTGACAGACTAATAACTTTTACTGCTGTTTCTGTTGCAGGAAAGATGACAGAGAAACTCTTTTTAATAGATCTCCTACTAAACCCTGATGGTACTAGGATTTCTTTGACCCAAGACATCAAAGAAGGGATTATGTGACTGCTAAACAATCATCTGACAGAAACATTTACTTCTCAGTATTTATGCCTTCCAGAGGCTCACTGTACCCAAGACAGCACGCATACAAAATGAACTACACACAGACACATTACTGTGGCTTTAGGTTGTTTTTTAGTGCAAAAAAATTGGGGTTTATCCTTGCTCTTTGGTGAAACAAACATTCCAATTTGTAGATGCCAGGGACTCTTGATTTGAATAATTTCATGCACTTCAGTAATTTGGCTAACATTAATAATCCCTGAAATTCAATGAAACTATATTCTGTACTTAACATTTTGTTTAAAACCTTTATGCCAAATTAAAAAAAAAACAATATAAAATTAGCAGGATTTGGGGTGGGTCTCAGGAAATTAATTGGAAGGGCAGATACCTGTGAAAAGTGACCAGGTATCATCCTTGAACTACAGAAAGCACAAAACCAGCATTCTCTCTCTTGTCTTGTTTAGGTTAACTTTTACCAGAAATGCCAGACCTTCCACTTTCTGAAATGTCTTCTATACCCCTGTGGTGCTCCTTTTTTGCACAGTGATTATATCGAGTGTAGATCTTCTTTCCTAGGAACATACTGCCCCGCTGATTAGAAAACATTCTAATTGAATTTAAAATTGCAGATTTCTGAATGCACTTAACCGTACACTCTTGTTTTACATCAAATACTCCTGTAAAAATAAATACTTTTTGCAAGTATGTCGAGTCTTTCTGTTGCACAGTGGTTCAACATTAATTTACAAGTTTAGGAAAAAGAATGACCCCAGTTCTGCTTTTGCAGTAGGAGAGAAGCAGCTGAAAATCATTACTTAATGGACAGTAACAAGAAAAATGGAAGGCAGTAATTCATTTTATAGTTCTGGTGGTTGGAGCCTGCCTCAACAGCGACTCTGGTCAAATGGTACAGCTCTTCTTTACCTTGCTACACTGTCTGACCTCTGCCTTGAGGTGCACAGTGTTAATACCTGAATTATGGGTCACTTGGCAATTTCTTCAAATGCAGCAAGAATTAGGGAGTTGTCCAAGAACACGCTGAGATACCACAGTGACTTCTAATGTAGTTTCATTCACAGATGTAGTTACTAAGGGATCCTATTCATAAAAGAGCTACACTTCATTTCACAGGTCTTTCTGCAAAGGCCAGCAAAGCAAACCAGCTTGCTTTTTTTTTGCCTTACCATTGTGTAAGGGAAAGAACCCAGAGGTGGATAATGCTTTTGCGCAAGATGCTCAGGAATCAAATGCATTGTAAGTCTCTTTATAGCCAATATTGTTAAAAACTATATATCAAGTAAGACTTTTCACAGATTTGCAAACAGCACCAAATTTTCGTTCTTTAAAAACTATCCACTTTTCTTCTTTTTTTTTTTTTTTTAAAGACTGAGCACAGCAGTAGTTTATTTCACTTGGTACAGCTGTTCCAGTCTGTCTCAGCAGTATTAATATGAGCATGAACTTGAACATTGATTTCCCTCACAGCTTTGTGATCCATCATGCATTGTAGCAACTGATAAAAGGAACAGAAAATAAAACACCAAACGTGGCAAAGAGGTGGGTGCTCTAGCCCTGTATCTGGGCTTGTATGGCCTGTTGTTGCTAATCTGACCATTGCTCTGCTAAATAGAGTGAGGCTCCACATTCAGAAGGAAACTAAAGCTGGGTTCAAATAGTTACTGTCACCATAATTCATCAGAACTAAGAAGAACAGGAGATACCTGTGTGTATTACATTGTAGCTTCCTGAATATGACATAAGCATTATCATAAAATTCTTCTGAATCGTGTAAAAAGCTCAGAGTGATCCACACAAAGTGCCATTTAAGTTTTTAATAGGCCCCATTGAAAGCTTAGCAGAACAAAAATAAAACAAACCAAAGTTACTGTTCATTTTACCCAAGGTTCCCCCAACATGGAGGTTTCCATATTAACTGCCTGAGAGGAGGAAGTAGAGTCTAATTATGGTAAATAAAAGCAAACAACAAAAAAATCTGTTTCCAAATTTACTATAACTCAGATTATTACTGGAAGAGATGTTTTATTGAATGTTGCGTTGATCCAGACTTGACTATCAACACACTACAATCCAGGGAAACTGCCCTTTCGTCGTCGTTTGTTCATAAGTAAGGCAGTTGGGAAAAGTGGCAGAAATGTTATAACACTAAATGTCTGTTCAGAGCTGAAAATGAGGACTTAAAAGACATGACAAGCATAGGCACTCATTTAAGTGCATCCTTGCCCTAAGTGGATTTCATTCTATTTCTGTTTCATAGACAGCCCCCTCTAAATAAAATAAAGCTTTTTGGATTTTGTGGGTGTTTTTTTATTGTTGTTTTCTTGTTTGTTGGTTTTTCTCACATTCCTAATTCAGTCCTTTCCAAACATAGTGGCAGTTTTACTTTGGATAGCATTACAGAGCCCATTGCAGAACACCGGATTGTTTCACGAGGCCCGCGGCTGGTTCACACATCACTGATTCTCTTCAGGACTTACTTTTAGCTGTAAATTTTTAAGCTAAAACTGTAGATTAGGCAAGGATCACCGTTAGTACCTTGTGCTGCTTACTGGAGTCACTTCTTCTCAGTAAAGGCAGACCATGTTGAGCATATGAGCTGGACAAGTCTCTTGCCGCCTCAGAGGATTTGCATTTCTGGTCATGTGCTTCCTGCTACAAACAGAAAGTTACATAAAACATACCCTTTTACTGACAGCAGTTTCTCTGCTTTCCCTCTTCAGCTTTGCTGGGGGCTGCTTGCAGCTGCTGCTGGCTCTGTGCTTCTTTCTCCTTTAGAATGGAATTATCTGTACCCTATTGCCCATTCCTCACACATCAGAGGGAAGTAAAAAGGCACAGCCTGGAAACAGCAGGTCTAACTAGTAACACAGCCTGAGCAAGCAGGCAGCTTGCTTGAAGAAACGCACGGAACTCAAGGCATAAAGAGCCTATATGGATTTCTAACACAGAAATCACTATGAGAAAGAATATTGTGAAAACAAAAAAGTGCTAGAAAGCTAGGCCATAATAATGTCTGATGTAAAATACTGCAGCCACCCATTTTATCTATCTCCACAGCTGATGAAAGTCTTGAAAACTGCTGTTTCTAGTACAGAAAGTTTCATCTGTTTGTTAGTTGGCAGGTGCAGACTCCTCTGCATAGGTAGGAATGAGCATGCAGTTAAGTTACTGTGTGCCATTATGTTCCAAAGGCTTTACTAGTTATGTGTTGAGCTTTTCCATGTAGAAACTGGACTAGGAGTATCTGAAAAATGCAGACCTTCCAGGTCACCCTGGGTCACCCCCAGGCTTTGTATCATGGACATGGTGGGTCCTGCATGTGCTGCAGTCTGGTGCATGAACGCAGCAAGTCATATTTGTCCTGCTTCATCGCACTGCTGTC